GGACAAACGCCCGAGATCCCCAGAGACGGAACGCCGACGCATCGCCTACCTTCCCCGTCCACAGCAAAGCTGGGGAGGTCTCCGGCATGGAGACCCTAGGGTGAAGGTTGATCTGATGCGCCGCGTACCAAACTGCAAACGGCCACAGAAAATGGGGGGCAGCCGCATGCATCATGGACGTACGGGCGACGTCCATGACCATGCCAATGCGGCGCTCAGCAATCCCATTTTGCTGTGGAGAGTCCGGAAGCGTAAAGGTCTGGCGGATGCCTCGAGCACGACAGTAGGCTCGCAGAAGGTCAGAGGAGAACTCTCCGCCTCTGTCAGAGTGCAGACGTAGAACAGGAAAGTCCGAGCCGAAGCTTTTCCTGAGCTGGAGACGAGCTGCGCGGATCCAGTCGATCGACACCTCAGTGACATCACCCTTGCTGCGCAAGGGGAAGACTGTGGTGTAACGCGAGTAGTCGTCAACCACCACTAGGAAGTAGTGCTCGTGACCCTGTCCACGGACGCGGGCCGAGCCCCACACGTCCATGTAAAGCGTCTGCAGCGGGGCCTCTGTCGGGGGAAACTGAGAGGAGTGAGGGGCAGCCCGCATCCGCCCCTCGACACAGGGGACGCAGGTGGGGCCAGGCCCCGGAGGAAGGGGAGGGAGGGACCGGGGAAGACCAGAGACAAGGACACGGGAGGCCATGCCTCGGAGACGAGGCAGGGAGGGGTGACCAAGGCGGTGGTGCCAGAGGAGAGTCTCGTGAGACAGGAGGCGACACGAGCAGGGGGCAGACTCAGGACCAGATCTGGATGCTGCAGCAAACACCTGACCCGACGCAGCTACCTGACCAGACGCAGGGACAGGAGGAGACTCAGTGGTCAGAGTCTACAGGCTCGACCCCGGCCGACGCGTAAATGTGGCCAGGTGCCGGCCTGTGCGAGCGTCCGAGCAGTGAGTCACTCGCTGACTCGCAGGAGTAAACTGGTGAACCCCCGCATCCTGTAGGTGAGCACCACTCACCAAGTCCGTAGAGAACGAGGGGAGGTAAAGACCAGACAAGGTGCCAGAGGGGGCCGCCGGACACGGGAGGACAGTGGAGAAGTGAGAAGGGATAGGACCCCCAGAGGGGTCTGCCAGGGAGACTGCAACCGGCCGACCAAGCGGCGTCAGTGTGGTGCGGTCTCGAAAGAAGGAGCGAGAAGCCCCTGAGTCAAGTGTGAAGGTGAGGGAGGCCGAAGCCGACGCGGTACCTGCAAGCGCAGACTCACCAGCACCTGAGGACGCAGACGCACTGGCACCTAGAGCAGCAGCCTCACTGGCACCTAGAGCAGCAGCCTCACCAGTACCTAGAGCAGCAGTCTCAATGCCCGGGTCGGGCGGGAAACACCGGTAATAGTCACCCTCATCACTAATAGACACAGCATACATGGCAGAAAGGATAGCATCAAAATCAAGATCATAAATGGCAACTCCCGCCCTAGACAGCTCGCCCCAGCGAGGGATCTCTGTGGCCTCACGGAACTGGTGACGCCACGCGTCCGTCAGGCGGCCAAAGCTGCGCTGGGTGGGGTGCGCACCCCCACACTGCTCACCCGCACGGTCGCCGGTGCGCAGGACGTAGGTGCACGGACCAAAGCCCCCACCCCGCTGGCGTGCAGTGTACCACTCACGGAGCTGCTGAGGGGACAAGGTCTCACGACCGCGCTGCTGCTGCTGGCGCGGACCACCACCGGAGCCACTCCTCTGCGTAGACCCGCGACCAGCTCCACCGCCACCCCCACCGCCTCCGCCGCCTCCGCCGCCTCCGCTACTACCGCCGCCTCCGCCGCCTCCTCCACCGCCACCACCTCCGCCACCTCCGCTCCCACCACCACCGCCGCCGCCGCCTCCGCCTCCACTGCCGCCACCGACACCTCCACCCCCACCTCCACTCCCACTGCCACCCCTACTCCCCCCGCCGCCTCCACCTCCACCTCCACCGCCCCCGCTCGCTCCTCGAGCGCCCCTGCCCCCCTTGCCCTTGCCAGAGCGGCGTCTCCCGCTAGAGGCAGACGCCGCACCGACCGACTCAAGACCAAGGAGGTCGACCGCAGCAGCAGAGGCAACAGAGGGCAGATGGGGGGAGGGGGAACACCCCTCAAAGATGGGGGTGCGCGGGTCACCACGAGAGGCCCCTAAAGCGACTATGCTCTTCTCGGCCGCTAGGAGGGACTTCTCGAGGAGGTCAACAGTGAGAGTGGTGGGACAGACTGAGAGGAAGTGGTCCCTGACTACGCGAAGGGATTCAGGGAGGCGAGTGACTATGTAGTAGAGAGTGATGTACATGGGGGGGGGTTCTTGGCGCAGAATTCAGCAGGAAGCGCAGCGCGGTAGCGAGTGTCACTAGTGCGGAGGTGCGTAATGAGGTCAGCGACTGTGGGAAAGGCAGCAAGGTCAGGGAAGAGGTACGGTAGCATGAGACGGCTCAGTGCAGCAGTGGCAGGGGAGGAGTAGCGTGCAACTACAGCGTCGTACAAGGTCTGAGCACTCTTGTACTGACTAAAGTGCGCACGCTCAGAGGTAGGGAGGTGGCGACGCACAGCAAGACGTGCAGCAGCATCGCGCGTGGCCCACTGTGAGCGAACAGTGGCGTCAGCATCAGCGGTAGGGGCAGGAGAGGCACCAGTGGTGAGGTCAAAGAGGGAGAGACCGTCTGCCCTATCGCACTGTAAGAAAAGCTGCAGGTCATCTACCCAGACGTCAAAGTCAATGGCTCGACCCTCGGCGTCAAAAGCGAGGACACTAGGGGTAGCCATGACAGCAGTAGACCAGCAGCGCTAACTGTAGAGCAGGGGCAGTGCACTGACAGAGGCGCTGCGCTCACCAGGCAGGGCGGTTCGGGCAGCTCGGGCGGCTCGGCAGCAACTGCGGCTCGGCGGTACCCGCGGCTCGGCTCCTCAGCTGCTCAGGCGGCTCGGGCGGCTCGGGCGGCTCGGGTGGCTTGGGCGGAACGGGCGGCTCGGGCTGCTGAGCGGCGCGGGCGGCTCCGCTGCGTAGGCGGTTCAGGCGGGGCCGTAGGTTGGGCGACGGGGCCGGGTCGAAGGTAGGGCGACGGGGCCGGTGCGCATGTAGGGCGACGGGGCCGGGGCCGGGGCGCAGGTAGGGCGACGGGGCCGGGTCGAAGGTAGGGCGACGGGGCCGGGGCCGGGCCGTAGGTAGGGGGACGGGGCCGGGGCCGAGCCGTAGGTAGGGCGACGGGGCCGAGTCGAAGGTAGGGCGACGGGGCCGGGGTCGGGCCGTAGGTAGGGCGACTGGGCCGGGGCCGGGGCGCAGGTAGGGCGACGGGGCCGGGGTCGGAGGTGGGGCGACGGGGCCGAGGTCGCAAGCGGGGCGACGGGGCCGGGTCCGGGGCGCAGGTAGGGCGACGGGGCTAGGGCCGGGGCCGCAGGTATGGCGACGGGGCCAGGGTCGCAAGAGGGGGGCGACGGGGCCGGGGTCGCAGGTAGGGCGACGGGGCCGGGGCGCAGGTAGGGCGACGGGGCCGGGGCGCAGGTAGGGCGACGGGGCCGAGGCGCAGGTAGGGCGACGGGGCCGCTAGGGCGACGGATCAGGGGCCGCTAAGGCGGCGCGACTTGGCCGCTAGGGCGGCTCGACGAAGTCAGAGAAGGGAGCGCGACTCGGGCAGAGCGCGCTCCAGGCAGGAAAAAAAAACTTTCGACTTGGTGGGCCCTAGGCACAGTTCCCACGAGGGAACCTGCTCGATACCATGTGAGAATTGAAACGAGAATGAATGACTAAGGAATGAAAGTGATACAAGTATGCAACCCTAGTATTGTGTACCCCATAAAGGCTACCCCACTACAGCCTACACAAGATTATAATTTGACACAGTGATCAGTCGCATTCACAGACTGTACAAAAAATTGGGCCAAAAAGGGTACGGTAGCAGGATTACAGCGTAGTAAAATGGGTAACGAATCCGCACATCGATCGCGACTGACGATCGATCGTCTACTTTTACCGCGTCCTCAGTGGTCATGTGTCGTGGTGTTTGGGTGGTGGTCTTGTTTGGGCTTGGTGGTTGAGAGTGTTGGGCTTTTGGACAACGCATTTGGGTGTGGTGCAACCGACAATGCGTTGAAATTCTTCGGCTGGATTCAAGGCGTGGGTCAACGCACAATTGGAGTCGAAAGTGTAGTCATTTGGAGTACGGAATGGCTGGAAAATCTCTAACCAATCAGGAAACTGTTTACACCTAAGCTATTGATACCTGATACCGTATTTGCAAAATTCATTAATGGTTCTTATTGAGAAAGCTTGCTTCTGTGGCAATTGGCATCGTTCTCATTATAATGGGCTCAAGTACAAAGGTTCATAGCAACAATAATATACTCACATCCAAAATGTCTAAGAACTACTACCGTACTCTCATAAGATGACTAGCATGGGGAGGGTGGGTGGGAATTGAACTTGAGCGATTGTAAAAATGAGAGACGTGGGTGGGGGAAGAATGACCCCAGCCCACATTATATATTCGGAGAAGGCGAATACCGCGCTTCGACAATGCACAAAATTGCATTACAGTCAGCTTCGCTTTCACAATACGCAAATTTGAAAGCGATAAACGCTTAGAATTTTTTCATGATTATCCTCTCTGCACTGATGTACCCTGATTTTTCCCATTTTCATATCATAACCTGTTGAGCTGGTGGCATGATGTGAAGTTTCTACATACAGCCAAACTGGAAGGACTCTATTTCCAGGACGAACCACGCCAACAGCATAAGTTCCCATAAATGACAAATGAACAACTGTATGTGCCCAAGTGGCAGTGAGTACAACCATTGAGCTCTTCAGAGACAAGCAGTCAAGGCCAACAGCCGCAATCAACCATGCGATCGTGCACAGCAGCCCAGCACCAGAACTGCACGTCACCGCGCCCCATTGATCAACCCCCGGCACATGCAGCCATGCCATACGCCCAAACACGTGCCCCCCAGTGCCTGCCTGCCACTCCACACGAGTCAAGTCACGGCGAAAGGCTGGTACTATCCTCCAAGGGGTCGTGCACAGCGGCTACTGCACGTGCTCCTTCCACCGCGCCCCACTGACCACCCCCCAGCACAGGCAGCCATTCCATATGCTCTAACACATGCCCCTTAATGCCTGCCTCGCACTCCAAACGAGTGAAGTCGAGGAGAAAGACTACTGCTATCACCCATAGGATCGCACCCATAGGATTGCACCCATAGGATTGCACCCATAGGATCGCACCCGTAGGATCGCACCCATAGGATCGCACCCATAGGATCGCACCCATAGGATCGCACCCATAGGATCGCACCCATAGGATTGCACCCATAGAATCGCACCCATAGGATCGCACCCATAGGATCGCACCCATAGGATCGCACCCATAGGATCGCACCCATAGGATCGCACCCATAGGATCGCACCCATAGGATCGCACCCATAGGATCGCACCCATAGGATCGCACCCGTAGGATCGTGCACAGCACAGCAGCCCGGCACCAGAACTGCACGTGCTCCTCTCCTTCCACCATGCCCTGCTGATGACCCCCCAGCATACAAGAAAATGCCATCTTATACCGTCTCCTAGAGCCTAGCACTCTGCACAAGTCAAGGAGAAAGACTGCTGTTATCCCCCACGGGGTCGTGCACAGCGGCTCTGCACCAGAACTGCACGTGCTCCTTCCACCGTGCCCCACTTATCACCCCCCGGCAAATGCTGCACGTCACACTGCTGCCGTCCGCTGCTGCATCCGTCACCACCTGCATGCGCCCCTGCTCCGCCAGTATCGCCTCTCCATCCACCCCATGCCTCCCTGCTGACTCCATCCCATATGCTGCTGGGTCTATCCCTTGCCTCCCTGCTTGATCCATCCCATAGCCTGCTGCTGTTGCTTGCATTCCATACCTTGCTGACTGTGTTGATCCATACCCAGAATGGAAGGCATATCCGTCTACTCCTTCCATTCCCCCGTTCATTGCTCCTTCCCCACGTTGCTCTCCTATGCTGTTGCTCCCCATGCCGCTCCCTCCTATACCCACGTCTCCGCCTCCCCATGCCATCGCACTCCCCCCCGCCGCCATCTGCCCGGTGCCAGCTGGCACTGCCACGTCAGCGCTGCCGATGGCGCAGCGTGCCAGCAAGGCGGTGATGTCATCAGCTCCCTGCTGTAGCTGCTGCATCTGCTGCTGGTTGTGGTGCATGGCTCGGGCTTGAGTTAGTGCCGTCAGCACTGCTGCCTCCCCGCCCTGCGCTCTCAACACTGCTATGATCTGAGGGTGGTTGGGCGGAGGATGGGAGGCAGGGAGGCAGGACTCTGTTTTTGAGGCACCTCGAAAACACATTGTTGCCAGCACTGCTGCCTTCCCGCCCTGCTCTCTCAGCAATGCTATGATCTGAGGGGGATGGGCGGATGGGAGGGGGGAAGAAAGGGGAGGAAGGTTTTACTTCAAAAGAAGGAAGAAATATACTTAGCAGAAAAAAAGGCCTACACCTGGTAATGGTGAAGGGGAGGGCAACCATGCAAATGGCGCTCCGATCACTCGTCGTTTTTATGAGCAGTAAAAAAAAAAAAAATCCCATAATAACAATAATTATTTCGAATAATAACAATAATAATATTAAAAATTATGGTAATAATGATTTGGGCTGCCCCCAAAAACTCTGGCCAGGCATCCAGCGTGTGGGTGTGTGGATGCGTCCAGCCTCTGGACACTGGAAGCTCTGAAGGTTACCCCCCAGATAAGTTCAGCCCAACTTAGTTGGGTGGCCGTCAGAGCAGGCAGGCAGCTGGGCGAGAGGCGAGAAACGAGGGGCGAGAAATGGGGGGCGAGGGGCGAAGGCGGATTGTGGTGGGCCTTTGCAGGTTCACTAGTTGCCACGACACAGCAGGCTCATCAATTGCAAGGCAGCGGAGGGCTGTCGTTATTCACCCTCTGTCGCACCAGCTGCAGCATTTCCTGCATGTCCAGCCGTTGCGGCGAGGTGTGTTTTGAGTCGAGTCGGCTCAAAGAGCTCACGAATTGCAAGGTAGCAAACGGCTGTCCCTCATCCACCCACCCTCATCCTACACAAACACCAACATTTTCACCTACTCTGGTGTCATACTCTAATCACTTGCTGCCACGCATTGAACCATGGCCTCTAAATGGGGTTCGATGGGAAGAGCTCACGAATTGCAAGGTAGCAGACGGCTGTCCCTCATCCACCCACCCTCTGCCGCGCCAGCTGCAGCATGCCCCGCACGTCCAGCCCGTGGGGCGAGGTGTGTTTTGAGTCGACTCAAACCACAGATGCTAACCGGTTGAAAGGCAGAGGCTCACCAGTTGCAGGGCAGCGGTCGGTTGTCCCTCGTCCACCCTCTGTCGAGCCAGCTGCAGCATTCCCGCACGTCCATCCCGTGGGGCGAGGGGAGAGGGGCGGGGGGAGCTGTGATGGTTCCCTGCAGGGCACAAAATGCTCACCAGTTGCAGGGCCGCGGAGGGTTGCCCCTCGTCCACCCTCTGCCTCGCCAGCTGCAGCATTCCCCGCACGTCTAGCTCGTGGGGCAAGGGACCTCCCTGAAACGCGGGATTCGCCATCGACTGATGCGGTATTGGCTACAGCGATTTTGCGAATGTGCGTGCAGCAGTGGAGGGAAGTCACGTTCGTTTGCTGGATTCCCGCGGGCCAGAGGGCTGCGAATGAACATGTGGCAGTGGATGAGGAGGGAGAAGGCGGGAGGTGGGGGGGGAAGGAGAGGGGAGAAGGAGAGGGGAGGGGGAGAGGGGAGAGGGGAGGGGAGAGGAGAGATGGGAGAGAGGAGAGGGGAGAGGGGAGAGGGGAGAGGGGAGAAGGAGAGGGTAGAAGGAGAGGGGAGTAGGGGACGGGAGAGGAAGGGGGGGGGAAGGAGAAGGGAGAAGTGGAGGGCAGGGCGGGGGGGTAGAGGGGAGTGGGAGAGAGGAGAGGAGAGGGGAGAGGAAGAGGAGAGAAGGAGACCGGAGAGGTAAAGGGGAGAGGGAGTGGGGAGAGGGAGAGGGGAGAGGAGAGGGGAAAGGGAGAGGGGGGGAGGGAGAGGGGAGAAAGAGCATAAATGGAAGGAAGTGTGGGGAGAAATGAAGAAAGCGTAGGTGAGAGAAAGACGGCCGTGATGCCAGTAGGCAGAGGGAAGTAATGGGGCTAAGCGCGAAGCAGCAGGAAGAATGCGAGTTCACTCAAAAGAGCGAGGAGGAAGAGGCGCGAGAACGCTGATCTGACGCAACTGGCGCGCAGTGAGGCGATCGATGAATGAAACGCGTCCGTTGCGACAGATTAAATGCGACAGTTGCGACAGATTTGATTGAAGCGGCGATGAACAGAGAAACCAGGTAGCAACGTGACGAAGTCACTATTCCGAATGTTTTTAGAGTAACTGCAGTAAGGCGCGAGTGCAGATGGCGACGACGCAGAGCTGAGCGGCTGCTAGCGAAAGAAAAGGGCTGCTAGGGCGTGTAACCAAACACTCGCATTCGCTCAATACCCAAACCAACCGTTCTAGATGCAGAACCGAACACGCTAAACCACAAAGCACCTCGTGACTCGACCTCTATCAGGTGTGTACGTTTGGGACGATAGACTGCGCGGCTTCTGAAGGCGTGACTCGGACGCAGCTTACTGATCACCGTAAGCCCGCTCACGCACCTGGCAAGATGGCAAGCGATCCGGGATGCTTTGACGGAGCAAGATGACCAAAAGTGATAGAAAGATGCTACGCTAACTTGCTGTGAAGAACTAGAAATGGAGGTAGGGTCTGTTGGAGGTAGGGTCTTAGAAAGGTGGGCATCTATGTAAAGTCTGATGCGAATATCCTTAAACCGTACTAAAACACATACCACATCTGAATCGCAACGAATGCTAGGATACGTGGGAAAAGCCTGAAGAGAAAACGTGTGTAGAAGGTAATGGTGGAGGAAGGAGGTCAGAGCCAGTGCTGCCGAATTAGGGCGTGATCTGTCTGGATGCCCTCGTACTCTGTACAGCCTGATTGGATGCTCAAGTACGAGAGCACCGAGAAGTGAATCACAAGAACCGTCGCGTAACTTCTATTACCGTAGTTCAACGTATGTTCAAGATGTACCGAGAAACCTTTGCTGCTTTCTTGCACGTTTCGTGGACTACATCAAAACGCGGATCTTCCCGAGGGTCTCAGGGTGTAATCCGAGGACGGAAGTTCGACCCTCATCACGCCAGGTTCAAGCAAAAAACTTCTGCACCCTCTCCAGCCGCATACAACCCCGTAACAGAAATGATCCAGAGGCAAACCGAACCAGGCCTTCGTTTGACAACACCTCGCGACGAGATACGTGTAATAACGCGTACGTAGCCATATGATCGTGTAGCAGTGCCAACCTCTCGTTGTGCTGTCATCGTCATCGTCATCAGGTGCTGGTGTCACGTCATCCGTAGTTCACGGCGGCTGATCCCGTCAGCGCGTTGATCGCGTGACTCGCGTGCGGTGCTCGCTTAGGGCCGTGGCTCATCTCTCCTTCATGACCTCCTTCTGGCGCATGCCGAATGATCTGCTATTGCACTGAATCACAAGTGTTGTGCAGCGTCTCACTCTCACGACGCGCGTCGGTGAGCTAGCTTAGGACAGTGGCTCGTCCCTCCTTCGACGCCTTCCATCTGCCGCACGTCGAGCCATCCGTTGGTGCATTAAAGCAGAGGCAGGAAAAGAAGCAGGCACAAGATAGAAGAGTAATGGCGGTGGTTTCTCCTTAAAGACACCATCTAGTTCGCAATTAAGTTTTCTAATACGCGAAATCCTTCCCTCATGGCTTCCACGTGTCTTACGTCGCAGCATCCCGTAGGGCTCGGCGCACCAGAAGCTGCCTGTAGCACACTCCTTTCTCGCTCCTCGTGTTCTAGGCTTATAACGAGTATTCGCAAAAGAAGCCTGCAACCAGCAGCTGTCTGCAGACCAATTGCTGCTCGTCCTTCAATACAATCACTTCGCGACTACAACCCTGCAAGCTGGACCC